TTATAGTATTGGAATAGAAGTGGCCAGCGATTAGATAATTCTTTAAATATAAATTTGTGCATTTGAGTTGAATATGACGAAATATAATCTGATAAGTTACCTAGCGCCAGAGTGTCGCTATGGTAAACAAATAGAGTGAATTTTTAAGAATGATTTATTCTATTGTGGTTTTATGCGCTGTCGGCGAGAGATTCAATTAAATCCAATACGTTTTAAAGAAATGCAAGAAAAAATGCGTATAATTTAATATTCCGTACAAGGAAGTCATGTGGTGTACACATCAGATTTTTTCTTAAAGGGTAAATTAATAACTTGAATTTTAGATGCGACAGAATTACATTTTTTATAAAAATGTTAGCTAACGATTTGTTTCGCTGCTGTTTCAGAAAGAGGTGTTGACTTTTAGTCAAACACTTCAGAAAACACAGGGAGCTCCGGTGGAGATTTCTCATGCCTTGAGCTCTTCAATTTCCTCCAACATTATCTCTCTCCTCATCGGAAGAAGACTTCGAAAAGATGTAGAAGCGGACAAAGTGCAGTTGTCAGTTGAATTTTCGGATGTCTCTTTCACTTACATGGGGCCTTCGAATGCAGTGTCGCTTGTGCCTGGGCTGAGGAAAGTGTTCGAATTCTTTAAAATAGCTGGCTACGACAGAGCAGCTCACATTATCAAAAGCTTCTGCAGTTTTGTAAAGTAAGCATTCAAGAATATTTCTACAAGTACCTATTCTTAAGATAAATATTACTTGTGTATTTAAGAATGGAAAACACTATAGGGAAATTCCGAAAGGTTTTATATCCTTGTTGTGTATGTATGTTATCGTGAAACACCGAAAATGGAGAATGTCGACTTTCACCGCAGAATGTCAACATTCAACAAATACGTCGGTGAAAGACCGAATATTTCACTACATTCTTGTATATTCGGACCCTCACCGGTGTATGTCGACAATCGCAGATATGCTCTGTGAAAGTCGAAAAGAGAGGTCATAAAGTGCCTTAATAGTTTAAGTTGTTGCAATAAATAGATGTGAATCACATAATTTAGTAAGTTTTTTTGTTGTTATTTTATTTTTCGTTTAGAACGTCTGTATAATTAAGTACGTTGACTTCTATTATTAGTCCAAAGGGATTGAATCCCGAGGACTATTAGTTTCGTTTTGGCATTTTGTGTCGGACTCATAAATGTCGGTTCACTTTTCAAACTGTTGCCACAAATGTAGAGCCTGCATTTATTGAGAATTAAATAATGAAAAATGCATATGTATATTTTCTCGTTGTGATAAAACAACGGTACATAGAGTCATCGAATTTTGAATACGTACCTCCAACGAATATGAGCATGTGGAAGACCAAATTTGTTTAAATTTGTTTTAGATCGCTTCCTAGTTTAACTTTGACGAATTTGATTCAAAAAATCAAGGATTTCAAAGCGCGGCAGTTGCACCGCGCGTGAGCAGTCGGAAATTCTTAGGCCGTTTCTATTTTGCGCTGTTGCAATATCTTATGGTTTTGCGGATCTAACTTTGCCCTGGATTCAGGTTTTTCAGTGGAGGAATCGTGCGTTTTTTCGAGACGAATGCGGAGAAGAAAATTAAATATTGTTATATGTCACATTCACCATCGACCTGGTGTGGTGCCCTTGACCGGTTTGTTTAGCGAGTTTGGAATATATTTCGGACATAACCAAGTCTATGTGAATGTTGACATCACCGGTAAAGTCGCATAGATATATAATATAATATTTGTTAAAGACTAGGTACCCTGGAATAGTTTTCGAAATATATGCAGAAAGTGCATAACCTGCATGAGATTTCGAAAACTACAGACATACATACAGACAGTGCATAACATCGATAACATATATATATATGTTACCGTGAAAGACCGAAACTGGAGAATGTCGACTTTCACCGGAGAATGTCAACATTCACCAAATACGTCGGTGAGAGATCGAATATTTCTTTACATTTTTGTACATTCCGACCCTCACCGGTGTGTGTTGACAATCACAGATATGCTCTGGTGTAGGTCGAAAAGAGAGGAGACTATGTACACGCTGCCATTCCAAAAGGAAGTGTTCCACAAATAAATGCAGTTGTAAAGGCAAGGGCTTCTTGTGCAATTCAAAGTGTCATAATAGTTTAAGTTGTTGCAATGAATAAGATTTGAATCACATAATTTGGTAAGTTTATAACTTCTATTATTTTCCTTTCTCATTTTGAATGTATTGTGTGTTTTAGGTTCTCATGTTCTTAAGTTCTTATTTCAAGTTTCAAGTGCGTTTACTCGCGACTGAATTACGGAGAAGAAAATATAATATTGTTGTATGTTCAACATTCACTATTAGTACATGGTGAATGTCGACATTGACCGGTGTAAGTCCGAAATAAGAGTATTTGGAAAATATTTCGGACATGCACCAAGAGACTATGTGAAAGTTGACATTCACCGGTGAAAGTCGACATTCTCCAGATTTCGGTGTTTCACCGTAACATATACACACATTTATCAGAAAAGTGAAGAAAATGCGCAATGCTGAGCATAAAACAGACACACAGCGCTTACATTCTAAAATTAGAGATGCTGGAGCCCTATGAAAGGTTGTCAGGAAATAAGGACAAGAATAAATAAATAAAAAAATCTAAACGCTTTCAGATTTTACAGGTTTCTTTTGAACGTTTTGTGTGTTACCTTTATTTATTAAACATCATTTTCTTGGTGCTTAAACCATAAAATTCAATTCAACAGCAATATCGCAAAATTTAAATTGATTTTAAAATGAGCATATCTTTAGAATTTCGGATACACAGTCTCGCGCGCTGGAGATAATTTTTTTTCCCATACAGTGTTGCCACTGCTTGCTTCGAAATCGTTGAGTATGCTAATCAAAAATTCGTTAAAAAGTGTTGCAAAATGTGAAACTGATAATAAAACAAATTCCAAATTCGGGCTTCTAGATGTCCATATTCGGTGGAGGATTACGTTATTCAAAATTCGATGGATCTAGGTATTGTTGTTTTATCCCAATGCGAGAAACATACACTAGTGTGCAAAACTTAAGCAACGATGCAAATTTTAATGAGATAACCATGCAATTGCAGAAAATGGGTTCTTGCTGTCAGTACAATGAACACGCAATTCAGTAGAAAAGTCATGCATATGAAAATGTCAGGAAAAAAAGGTCACAGGTTACATGATCGTACACAAAACGCATGCGCTCCACTCGGGACTACCGTAAAAGGAAGGACGGAGACGCAATTAAAGACATTCGCTGCAAGTACAGGTGAAATCTTTCGTGAAATATGGCTAGAAGAAATCATCTGGATGACTTCACGCGTGGAAGAATGATCGGAAAGCTGGAGGACGGGCGTAGTGTGACCATTGTGGCTGAAGATATCGAAATCAACGAAAGTGTCGTTTCGCGACCTTGGAAAGCTTCCAAACCATAGGTATCAGAAAAGTTGGCGGTGGTCGCTCCAGGACAACAACTGCAGCAGATAACCGATATATCGTCCTACAGGCGAAAAGTGCAAAACCAGTCAGCACGCTCCACACCGCAGCAACTGTGCACCGCAACCAGCGACAATTGTCGTGGTTTACTGTGTCCAGACACCTTCACAAAGATGGCCTATTCGCCCGCCGTCCTGAACGCTGCATCCCTTTGAAAGTTGGCCATCGGCGCCACCGTTTAGAGTGGTGCAAGTAGCACAAAAACTAGGCATCTCATCAATGGAGTCGTGTCCTCCTTACGGATGAGAGCCGTTTTAGTGACCCAAGCGATTCTCAACACCAACTGATTTGGAGAGCCTTTTGCAGAAGGTCCGCCATTTTGAACGCTGCATCCGTTTGAAAGTTGGCCATCGGCGCCACCGTTTAGAGTGATGCATGGAGCACAAACTTGAACATCTCATCAATGGAGTTTTGTCCTCTTTACGGATGAAAGTCGTTTTAGCGCTACAAGAGATTCTCAACGCCAGTTGATTTGGAGAGAGGTCGGGACACGGTTTCATCCCAGCAACATCACGGAAAGAGCCACATTACGGTGGCCCTGGAGTTCTCGTCTGGAGAAGCATTATGCTGCACGGGCGCACAGAGTTCCACGTTTGCGACAGAGGTTCTATAAGCGGAGATCGCTATTGTCAGGAGGTGATCCTTCCCTATGTACGTCTGTTCCAAGGTGCAAATGGAGCAGACTTCGTTTTTATGCATGACAATGCACGGCCACACCGGACTCCTGCTGTTCAGAAGCTACTGAAAAGTGAAAGATATCACTCGAATGGATTGACCAACGTACTCTCCTGATTTAAATCCCATAAAACATGTGTGGGATCCTTTGAGAAGACGCCTTGAGGCACGATTACATCCTCCGGCGAACACGCAACAACTGAAACAGATGCTGATTGAGGAATGGGCACTCTCACCTCAAGATCTGTTGAACAATCTTTTGCTGAGTATGGGGAGACAGTGGAAGCAACCATTGCAGTAAGGGGAGGGCATATCCCATACTAAGGAACATCTGCTTGTTGTTCTTCCTCTTATACAGACAATCATGTGCAACGATACTATGAGTTCAATAAACCCTGTTTTTGTTTGATTCCATACTGTATGCATTGTATTCATTTTTGCGCAATTATGCTTTCATCATCGTTTAAATACAAAATGCTGTCTCTTATTTTCTGAATTTCATGTCTCTCAGATGATATCTCGTGGAGTTATGTCAAAAAGAACACCTGTTGCTTAAGTTTTGCACACCAGTGTACATGCATTTATGCAGATTTTTCATTATTTAAGTTCTTTATATATAACACAGGGCGATAATATTTGGTGGCAACAATTTGAAAAGTGAAACAGACGCAAAATGCCAAAACGAAATTAATAGATCTTCTGGGCTAAGAAATAAAATGACTAATAAAATCCATAACATTAAAAAAAATTAAATCTGAAATCTTTTAGATTTTGTATTACGCCCAAAGGGACATTTTTTAAGGTTTTGTGTGTTACCTTTATATATTATATCATGTTATTCGCACTTAAACCATAAAATTCAATTCAACAGCAGTGTCACAAATAATTTAAAAAGAGCATAGCTTTAGAATTTCTGATACATTATCTCTCACGCTGGATATAGAAACGTTTAATTTTTTGTATAGTGTTGTCAGTGCTCTCTGAGATCGTTGAGTTTGTGAATCAAAAATTCTTTAAATAAGTTTTACAAAATACGAAATACATAATAAAATTCTAAATTCCGGCTTCTAGATGTCCATATTCGAGTGGAGGACTACGCTATTTAAAATTGGATGGTTCTAGGTAGGGTTATTTTATCACAATGTGAGAAACATGCATTCATACAATCAGAATCTTCATTATTTAATTTTTTTAAATATAATGCAGGGCTATAATATTTGGTGCCAACAATTTGAAAAGTAAAACGCCGTTTATAGTGAAACAATGCAAAATGCTAAAGCGAAGTTAATAGCCCGTCTGGGCAAACTGCCCCTTTGGACTAATGATTCATTATTAAAATAATTAAAGAATTAATTATTAAAGCAATTAAATATTTTAAATTTTATTAAATTTAAAATATAAAGAGATAAATTAAAATTTAATAAGCGATATTTAATATAATTTTATTACTAAAAATTAAATGTTCGAGATCAAATATCTATTGAAATTATTGTTCAGTAGTTACATAAGAAAGGTCAGGAACCTTCTTATTTAAGGCTCCGCTGCTCTCCGGCTGGAATTTGATTTATCGCCAAAACTATGAAGTTTCGAAGCCGAACTCCGGTGAGCTGCGGTGCAATTTAAGCTCTACAGGCATAAATGTGTTGCATGTTGAAAGGGGTGGGTGGCTGATTAGAATGCTATATTATAACGACTATACAGTACAGTGCTGAAATACGAAGCAATCAGACTTAGGTATAATACCGTAAGTGATATAGGTACAGGTAAAAAGTGGGTGAGACGCCAGAAATTCACCATTGGTCCTCACACCATTAATTGTGCAGTTCTATCCCAAACTGTATGTGAACACACCCGGGCTAGGGTGGTTCGATGCTTTCCCACCCTCTTTTCGTCTACCACAACCTCTCGAGAGTACATTCGGCTCTTTATATATTTTGAATGCCCCTTACCGAAGAGACACTATACGCTTACAAGCATCCATGCTTTCTCCGGGATTCGAACCCAAACCCATCAGTACGGCAGCCAAGCCAAAGAATATGTTTTGTTAAGAAGGAAAGCTTCGCAGCAGCAGGAGTGGCTCCCTCCGAACGAAAAGGGACACAACTGCGCATGCGTGAAATATCTGTCGCGAAAAAGCGCCAAAGCTCGAAGCTGATGTCGAAGTTCGAACGGGTTCGACGGTCACGTTTATCAAGAGTTTAAAGCTGTGTGACTCCATTTTCCCCCCCTACATATTGACAGATATAAAATCAGACATCAAACTGCGATATGGATGATACAAGTTCAACTAGTAAAGCAAAAAAAAGCACGAAAAATTCGAGTTTAAATTATCGCGAAAAGTCAAAGAACGAGATTCATCTTAACCCGTGTTCTCAATTTCCTGTACACGTGGCGGAGGTGGAAAATTCTCGGCCAGGTACATCACAAAGGGGAAATTCTCGCCAACAGGTTCCGTCGCCAAATCCCTTGGCGAATTGTCCCTCTTCTTTCTAGCGGCGTAGAAGACAAACTGGTTTACATTACGTCTATGGAGCCTTTCTTTCTTTACATAGACTTTCTTTGGTCAAGCGTCACGAACCACTATGCCGGTAGTGACATAGGTAGAAAAAGACCATAATATAAGCATGTACAATAACATTGTAAGATTTCCCTTGGTTTGCATAACAAATTATTTTAAGTTTGGTATCTTTCCTAAACTCCTCATTGTCCCTTCGCATTTCCTCCCCAGGATGCAATTTTAAAGTTAAGTGAAGTGAGTATTTAAACGGACGAATCTTGTAGTTTATTCAGAACGTGATTTCGCTAGCCAACGCAAGTTACCGTTTTGTCCTTGCTGCTGTTACGCTGATACGTCTTTTGGCCATTTACTAAGTATATCGCTAGGTAGGTTGTTGAGTCAGCATAGTTAGCGTTAAACTAAATTGTTAGTGCAGAACTACTACTTATCTTTCAATTTATTATTAAATTATTCTTAAGTTCCACTCCTCGGTGTTATTGTGAGTACGAAATATGTGCATGTGTGTTAAGAGTTTGACGACCACTCGAACAAACGAGATCAGGATCACCTGCCTGTACCAATAGGTTACGAGGAACGGCCAAGCTCGTGATTTTGTATTTCTGTGGCCGAGCCTGCCTAGGTTCAGACCCTGGTCAGAAGCCTCACAGGTTTTCCTATGTCTACCCCCCCCCGCGGAGATGTTGCATATACAGAGTGTTTCCGAATTCGAGCAACAAAGAGACAGAGGGACGATAGCAGGCATCAAGAGGATAAAAAAATACCATACAGCATGTGGTTACATTTGGTGGAAATCGCAAAAACACACATCAGGAATCGGTGAGCCTGACGAAGAGAGTAGAAGCCAAACAAAGGCTATGATAAGGAACACAGCAGTCAGGAAGAAGAAAACCTTCTCTTATGCAGATTTCGTATGCGTACGGGGGGGGAATAAAAGCATCGAGGAAGTATTCATTAGTGGTCATTGCAGAATTCGCGGATGTTAAACTTCAGTCAGAAACAACATGTCAGATTACACGAACGAGGAGTATGCGGATATGCATCTTTGTTTCCGAGCAGGTGGCAGTGCAGATCTAACCCAGAAGGTTGTACCAACAGTAATATCCGAGAAGGCGTCATACCATCTTCTCGAACATCGATCGACGCTGCTGGAGATGGAGTCCTTCCAAATAAAGAGGCGTAATGTGGGGCAAGAATGCAGTGTGAGCACACCTTAAACAGAATACCGAGTGTTGCAACGGTTTGCCTTTCCTCGTCGACCAGTATACGATCGGTTGCAGTTGAATTGGGCATTCGTCAGAAAATGGTGGAAGGTTCTGCGTACAGAAAGCATGCACTCCTTCTACGTTCAACTACCGAGTGCTGCCGACTACTCCTTTCGGGTAGAGTTCGTACGCTGGATGTTTGATGTCACAAAGAATGATTCACAGTTTCCTGCCATTGTTTTGTTCTCAGGTGAAGCCTGCTTTATGAGAGAAGGTGTAGTCAACATGCACATTATGTATATGTTGTCGTCCGAAAATCCCCACAGCATTGTCATGTCGAATATGCAACGGAGTTCGGTAGAGCAAGGATTCCTGGAAATCATCTGTTGGGACCGACTTACTTACGCTGTATCGCCTGTTGGATGACTATTTATATCTTCTGCTCGAACGCCTCAACTAAATGGCGCAAATTACCTCGTTGTCCTACACGTTGGTAAAATTACCTTGTTGTCCGCACCTTGTAAATGACACAAATTACCTTGTTGTCCGCACTTTTTTTTATTTCATGAAGGGGATACTGGCCACTGGGCGCCAAAACATGTGATTCATGCATGATGGTGCACCAGCACATTTTGTGATTACGGTGCGTAACTACCTCGAACTACTTACCTACTACATATCCCGGGAGGTAGATTGGTAGCGGCGGATCAGCTGTTTTGCCTCCACGCCCCCCGGACATCAGTCCCTTGGATTTCTTCTTTTGGGGCCACCTGAAATCGGTTGTTTATCAGACGCTTGTAGATACACCGGAAGATCTGACAGTACGAATCGTTGTCATTTCAGCATCGCGTATGTTTGAGCGCGTCCAGCAATCCTTCGTCCGTTGCTGTGGGATTGTGCAATGACCTTCGCGGCCGTAACTTCGAACAATTCTTATAAAACTATCTCTTCGTCTCTTTTCTGACGTTGAACTGTGACGCATTGCAACCTGCTTGATAAATGTGAAATAAATATTTTTCTACATATTCTTGCCACTTTTGTTCCATTCGACGTCACATCCTTAACAAATAGTTTTGCGATTTTCTCCCATTAAACGTGGTTTACGACCCCACATGTTCTATGACAATTTTTCATTCTCCTGATACCTAACTATCCTCCTTCTGAATCTGTCAGTTGAATTCAGAAACACCCTGTATATGCAACATCTCTCCGACGGTTGACATAGAGAAGTCTGCGAAGCTACTGGCTGGGATCTGTACCTAGGCAGTATTGGCCATAGGGGTAAGCAAATTATATATCTAGAGGTTTTAAAGGCCAAGGAAAGATAAGATCACATATTGGTCGACCCGTGGGTCTGGCAGGTCTTGGAGATCAAGGATCTAGTAGCCTCGGTATTCTGGGTAATGGCAGCCCTTGTGGTTGATGGGTAGCTAATCGACGACCAGTGACGCCCTGGGGGCCTATGTTGCACCAAATGCGTTGGTGCCAATCCCTCCAGGGTTGAACCATCCCTGGGCCCTGTTCGGAGGGGGTGCGGACTCGTAGCTCCCTATTTTGAGGGGAACGAGGAATGCCCAATAAGTTAGCATATGCAATATGTTGCATAATTTTAAAAAATTAAACTTGCCTATCCGCAAACTGAAAAACTTGTCTTTACTATTTATTTACGGCTATAAAATTTTCACTTTTGTTAAACGTAATAACCAATATGTGATGCTCTTTTTACAGAGAGGAAATTTCACGACATAAAACATCTCCCGAATTTCAGGATGTTCATGATTTTATAAACTCCTATCTTGAAAAGCAGTCAAAAATGATGGCATCTGAAAAAATAAAGCATTATTTCTCAGGTATGAATCTCAAGTTAAATTGTATAGGCATACTAAAGGATTGCCTATTTAATATTCGTTTTCTTATTCGCTTGAAAAATTATTATGATTAACCCTCCGAGCGTTACGGGTTTAGCCCTGAAATTTCAAAGTTCCTCAAAATGTCATGAATAAGTGATATTTTCTTGATTTTAATTAAAAAATTACTATCTCATTTTGTACCTTGATTCCTTTTCTTCCAATATGTATCATCCAAACCAAAATGAGATATATTTAAAAGCTGTCAAAAATTTTCATGTATAATGAATATATAAGATAGCCTTCTGTACGGAATTTTCCGGCCGTAACGCTGAGAGCTTTGCTGATGTAATGTGTCTAGCCAGGATGTTTGTGTTATCTAACATTAGCTTTCTTTTCATAGAAGATCTTTTGCGTCATGTTTTAAGCATCTTTCCCAAAATGTTCTTACCCCAGGAACTTATTCTTTCTTTTTTATTCCATGACGCTTTATTGATATGGAATGAAGTATCTACATCTTAATTGCATGCACATTTCTCAAGTACATGGTAATCCAAATGTCCATTAACATTTGAAAATTCGATAATTCACGGAATAATGTGGGTAGAGAGGTAAAAATTGACACACATGCTTGAAATGAATGGGGTTTTATTAACCAATTTCTAGGGTTTATATTTATTTTAACTAACATTTATTTTAAGCTATCTTTCCTGTCAAGCCTTTACTTTCCCCTAGAATTGCCAATGCCAGAGTATGTAAATCGTAGTAGAACGCGCAGAGTATTCAAATTTTAGCAGAAGTAAATTGAGTTTAAATAGAAGGGAAACGAGATTGTAAGTGTGCTTCTTGAATCACGAGCGTGAAGGTTGCTTAGGTAGAAAGTTTAAGAAACCATGCGTTTCGGCCTGTGTGCGTATTTCGACAGTTCGTTGAATCTTTCAAATTCTTAATCAGAAAGCTTTGCTGAATCTCAGCAGTATCTTAGAACATGGTTAAGTTAGTTACGATTATAGAGCCTCGTAGGTAGTGACTTTAGTTTGTTTATTCATCCTGTCATTTATTTTTAGTTGTAATTTTTGTCTATTTTGTTCAATCCGCCGGGTCAGCGTAGTTTGTGAGTGTCAAGTGAACGCAGCTGTGATTTCTAAAGTGGAAATAAAAAGGGAGTTTAAACCCTTCTTACGAGTTTGTGTAATTTACAGTTCAAAGCAGTCACTACCACTGTTGCTGACAAGTTAGGACCTCGCAGCATTATAAGTTAACTGTGGCGCTCTCGTTTAAAAGTGCGCACCGTTTTTTGTCGCCAGAATCGAGTCATGACGACTATATTCGTCAATCACAGAGCAAGTTGCGCTGGTAAGATATTGGATGAAAAAAAAAAGGGTTTATTTTATAAAATTGAAAATTTTATTACTAATATTTATTTATTTGGTTAATATAATCATATATTACATACATATTAAACTAAAAACGCAATCAATTAAATTAAATATTATACACACATATAAAAGTAAGACTTTAAATTTCTGCTGTGGAGTGATATTGAGCGAAACAGGGTACTATAAACAATGGAACTTTGCTAATCGAACACCAGTAACGTGATTCCTTCCTGATCTTACGTTTGTAGCGATGCAAACACCTTCGCGGAGGTTTTCTTTTTTTTTTTTTTTTTCGATGTTACGGGTATATACTCCGGAACATGATTCCCGCCTAATTGGCTTACATTAGGTCTAAATGGCCGAGTTTGTGTCGATTTATTTCTTTCAATTGGATACGCCGCAAAAGTGTTTTCAATAATTTGAGCGAAAAGTTGATACGCGATAATGTTCCATTATTTTTTTATATAATATAAATGCATTCAGACACATAATGTCTAAGAAATGAAGAAATATCTTTTCGTAGTACTTTTTGAGTCGTTTTCTTGCTGTGGAGTACGCTATGATAATTCCACCACTCCTATCCACTCCACCCATTTTTTTATTATAATCCATCACTAGCTCCGGTTTCTTTGTTATTATTTTTCTTTTCTCTGCTTCTATTACGTTGTCATTATGTACAGTACTTACTAAATAAACCTCCCTCTTATTTTTCCATTTCATTAACATAATATACGCATGACGAGTATACTCGTCAATACACATAATTGTGTCGCTTCTCCATAACGAGTATACTCGTCAATACACAAAATTGTGTCACTTCTCCATAACGAGTATACTCGTCAATACACAAAATTGTGTCGCTTCTCCATAACGAGTATACTCGTCAATACACAAAATTGCGTCGCTTCTCCATAACGAGTATACTCGTCAATCACAGTTAATGGTTAAAGGCAAAAAAGAAAAATACAAAAAAAAGGCCAACATATGACGCTGCATCAGAACGGTGCATGAAATGAGCTGTAGTTAGAGAAGAAATGACTTCATGACTGCCATTTTTCTGTCCTTGCCTCTAGGTGGTGGTCATGGTATGATGTGGATTTATCACCTTAGTCGTGATCGAACCTTTCTTCTTCGAGGAAATGCGTGGTTCTGCTATTCAAACTGTCAGTGTGATGGGTGTGAGATGCGCTGATATGCTGCAGAATCGCATCACCCCTAGTCTGGCTGATAAATATCTGTTGGAAGGTATGACTGTTATGCAGGATGGCGTTCCACCCCATACTGCTACGCGCATTAAAGATCTCTTACACACATCGTTTGGTGAGGAACACGTGCTGAGTCGCTACTTCCTTCATGCTTGGCCTCTGAGGTTCCCAGATCTCAATCCGTATGATTATTGGTTGTGTTGTTACCTGAAGTCGCAAATCTACCGCGATCGTCCCACCTTATGCTAAAAGGCAACATCTGAAAGCAATTTGTCACCATACCAACAGATATGCTGTACAGTGCTGTTCACAACATTGTCTCTTGACTACATGTATTGTTGATGGATGACGCCCAACATGTTGAACATTTGTTGCAAAGAACATAAGTCTTTGCTAAACATCCATTGTTAGGCTAAATATTGCTTTTGTGATCGTATGAAACGCCACCTGTTGGCTGTTTTAAGACATTTTTTTTTCTTTCAGTAAAACCCCATGGCATTTCAAGCATGTGTGTCAGTTTTTACTGCTGTACCTATATCATTCGATGAATTATTGAATCTTGGAGAGTTGAAAAATGCATTTTTCCTTTCTAGAAAATATTTTTTTATATAGATTTTTATCACGAGAAACTAAGTTGCCAGAAAAACCAATTTCAGATGTTATCACAAAAAAAAAAAAAAAAAAATCTTTTTTTAAATAAAATTCAGTCGAATTACAATTAATTTCTATTTATTGCATAATATAAAAAAGTAAAATATATAAAATTTAATAAAGCACTGAGGAAAAAATACCTTAGAAATGCAGTTTAGTATGGTAGAGTTCAAAAAACAGGGTTCAAAGCAAAGTCCAACTTCACAGTCTTTGCACCAGATTCAATAAAACTAATTAATCTAATTGTTAATCTAATCAACAAATCTAATTAATAATACAATAATTTAATTAAATAATCAAGATAATCGCTGAATGTTTTCCAGCAGCCGTTTTTTTTTAAAAAAAAGCGCAAAAAATGGAGTTTGAGCGGTAATACCACGTGCTTTCAAATGATGATGATGTCGTGTCTATGGCAATGTGCAATTATCTAGCTCCGAAGCTGTCAAAGACAGCTTTTGCAACCTCGGCAGCTCTATCCGTATAAAGTAGGTCCACCGGGTCTTCAATGCCGATGTCAAACAGTCTGGCCTGGATTGCTGGGCAGCTGAAGATGTGATGGCAAGACAGTGGGATGTCATCTGGGCAATGAGGAAAAATGGGTGTAACTACGCTGTCCGTCTGCAGAAATCCTCATTCCTTTTAAGTGATTTGTCCTAAGTCTAGTTATGATGGTCGATATGGCTCTGTCACAGTTCAATTCCGGGATGGAGTTTCCTTTAACTTGACCGATTAGTCTTTGGCTGGCAACTGCATTGGCATCAACGAGGGTTAGGCAGTTAGATGGCTGAGGAGAATCACGGGATGCCTTTGCAAGCTCATCGGCCTTCTCATTACCAAAACTCTCGGGGGAGCCTGTAACAAAGAATCTCTAAGGAGAAGAATGAAAGCTTCCATAGACGCAATGTAAACCTTTTTCGCCTCTGCGCCGCTGTACCGAAGAGCCACGGCTATGCAGTGAAACACCAGCGCAGGGTGAAATTTAAACAGCACAGTTCGAGGAGATAGTAAATTTTTTTACTTTGAAATAACTCAAAATGTTTTATTTTCATACATTTCTGGAGTTTTATGAGTAAAATATGTTAGTTGGAATTTTGGGGCGAATTATAGAAATCCTGTCCAATTTTTACTTTCAATTTAAACAGCGAGTCGTACGAAGACAAAATTTAAATGAAATAAATTTCTTAATTATTTTCTTCTGTAAACTTAAAAAGGGGGGAAACACATGCCATACAAAACGTAATAAATTTTATGGATCCATAGTTAAAATTTTACAGTGAAATTTTAAAAGCAAAATTTGCAATAACTAACTGAAACAGAAAAAAAAAATATTTAAAGACAATTAAAGGCACCCCTAAATAAATTGAAAACACTGAAATACATTATAATTATCCAACAACAACTTTAAAAACAAATTACCATGAAAACGTTTAGACAATTATTTGGAATGACCATTGTGAAAACCAAGAGCAAAGTTTTCACCCAATAGCCAAAACCATTTCACTTACAGCATTACATTTAAAAAGTTTTTAAAAGAATTTCACATAGCTAAAACCAAGTACCTCTGACTACAACAACAAAGAACGTTTTCGAACAACGTGGTAAAAGATTGCTAACATGGCCGACGGCATGCTGCATTCTTTGATGCTGCTTTGTTGCCTCCTGATGTTATTTCGCACATGCGCAGTCAGGTACGAAGGGTGGATAGCTTTGGAATGGTTGCCCCTTTAAAGTAAGCTTCAGGGATATACATAATGTGTCTCTTCGGTCTGACGGAGCCACATTTGCCCCGGGGAACCTTTACTTCTTCTCCTTAGAGATTCTTTGCCTGTAACCCCTAGAGAGCGCGTCCCCAGGTGGCGGATCAGGGAAAGCCTCCATAGGTTTATCCTTGGGTGGTAGGAGGGAAATAAAATACCTCCCCGCGGACCAACAGGCAGAAGTTCAACCTCTTCGAGGCTCTGCAGCTTCTTTTTCTATGGATTGTGCTTTCAAATGCCGCAATTTAGTGGACAACTAGCGATATCTGTTGGCCAAAACGTAACCTAAACGTCTAATACTGTATATAATTTATTTCAATGCTTAAACGGGGAAAAAGGGATGTGCTCCTCAATAAAGGAAGAAAAACACATGGTTCGCGGAAATTGCGGGATGAGCAGCTAGAGGGTTAATGGACTTTTGGGTCCTCCTGTACCTTAAGATATGCCATGAATTTCGTATTCATTACTTCATTTTAGCTATCGAAATGTTTCAAATAATTATAATTGAAGATTTAAAAACCCTTTATGCTTTTCGTTTAGAAAGAAATTTGGAAGGAAATTTGAATATATTATTTCTGGCGGCCAGTGATACCATATTTAGCTCTTTAGGATGGCTTCTGCGGCTAATGACAAAGCACAGAGATATTCAGCAAAAAGTTTATACCGAGCTAATGGAGGTTCTGGGTAAAGACGGAATAGCCAGATATGAAGAGCGCCACAAAATACCTTATACTTTCGCTGTCGTGATGGAGGCTCAGAGGTACTCAAGTATAGTTCCTCTAAGCACCACCAGGAGGTAAGCAAATTATACACTTAGTTTAAAATATAAATAGACTTTTTCCATTAATCAATGGTATTGGAATCACTACCAGGGAAATATGCAAATAAAATCACAAACGAACATATCGCTTTACTTTTACTTCCTTGCACTTTTACTTTTACTTCCTTTCACTTCTTTTACTTACTTCCTTGCAAGTAAAGGAAGTATCGCAATCGCGAAAATTCTCGGGTATCAGATGTCAGCGAAAGTATCCATTTTGACGTCTATCGAATACAATTTAAAGTTGTTTTTGTGTGACATCTGTACATAAGGACAGAGTAAAGGACTCTTTTTCGCAAAACGGGTTGCAAAATGATTTAAAATGGATCCAGAAGGGTTTTCTTTCCGTGACGTCTGTACGTACGTACGTACGTATGTATATATGTATCTCGAATAACTCGAAAACAAGTACCGTCAGAAGGTTGAAATTTTGCACCTAGGACTGCTATAACATGCAGTCGTGCCCCTCAGATTTTGGCTCCAATCGACAGAGCCAAAACTATATAAATATATAAAACTATATAAACATACCCACTCTGTTATTCGGCTCCGGGAGATCAGTTTTTTTATACTTATATGTTGGTTAAATTGTGCATTTTTAACTTTATAAATGATTGAATCATGTTGTTTTTATCTTCCGGTTAAAGATTTTATGCCTTTAGTTAATCTGCATGCAATAGTTGTAGAATTATCAGCAATTTAAAAGTTGTTTACGTGCGGTTTTTTTAGCATAATTTTTTACCTAATTTTTTTTTTACCATAGCTCCCAATTTTGCTTATATTTGAAATTTCGCAGAATAGTGAATTAAGTCAGCTTCTGCACCTTCAGTGTCTTTTTGCCAAGTGGAAGAGAAAATAAACTTTTAATATTGTGCACCGAAAGATCTGCTTTCTTGCCCGCTGGCTTAATTGCTTGTTTTTGCAATTAGTCTACTTTTAATTGTAAAAATTGTGTTTCTAACTGTTTTAACTGCATTTGGTGTTTTATATTTTCTATATTTTTTTCAATTTTTGATAAAATGTAGAGACATTAGGCTATTTGGAAGCATCAAAGATGAAAAATGATCAGAAGCCTTCGCCGGCAATCGAACCACGGATCTCTGGATACGCGCCCAGCATGTAGGCCGCTACACTACGAAGGCACGCCAAGAAAGTAGAAATACCTTATATACTCCCCCTTTCGAAGGGCGACTGAGGTTTTTAGGGGACTCAATCGCCAAATCCTAGGTGAGGAGAGTCATCATCTACCCTCCCTTTTAGTTCGGGAGCCACTGTAGAGACATTAGGGATTTTTTGAAAGCAGGAGAGATGAAAAATGAGCAAACGCCTTCGCCGGAAATCGAAACATGGACCTCTGGATACCCACCCAGCGTGCAGATCACTACACCATTGAAGGCACGCCAAGGAGGAGGGAGAAATACCTTATAAAGCTATTTTCATGTTTTATATATTTTTGCCTTGCCGCGAAGTGAGAACTGAATTTATTGAATGAGAACTATATCTCTAATGAAATTCGGAGAAATAAGTTTAAATGAAATGCAGTAAAATTGCGTATAATTTAATATTCTGTGCAGGGAAGTCATGTGGTGTGCACATAAGATTATTTATCATAGTAATAATAATTTTATTTGATCTTTAAAATCACTCAAAAAAGTCATGGTAGAATAAATTATGTCCTTTATATTTGTTAAATAATCTTCCACTGCACTCATTTTCAGGAAGATGTTTTAACCATCGATTACCTTCGATTTTGAGAATTTTCGACGAACTAGAAGTTTTACCGATTTACAATAAAAACTAAAAGACCAATCTGTAGCTGATTTCTGTCATATATATGTACTTTCAGAATGTAAAACTTGTACTCTCAGATGGCTGACAGAAAAATGAAAGATTAATTTACTAAGCAAGGTCTAAAATTTCCTTTCTTTCCTATGTAGATAAAAAGTAAAATTAACAAATTTAAGCGAAAAAAAGAAAAACACAATTATTTGCCAAACGTTTCTGCGTTGCATGATGTCTTTCTGTTATTCTCCCGATATTCAAAATGTATTATCAGAATTACATTGAAATTACACAAAACAGTAATCACATGATGGCATCTAAATATTCTGAGAAATTATTTAAATTATCACATTCTTCTATTTTTATTTATGTCTGCTATTAAAATTGCTCATCTGGTGAATTTCTTTTCAAAATATTACAACGCTATCAGTTACGCAACCATCCTTCGTCTGGCTTCTAAATGTACCGGGAAAATGCCTGAAGGGAAGACCAAACGTTAAATTTATAAGCTACGCAGAATTTTACTCTGCAGAACAACTTAGTAAAAATCCTTTCCTTATTTCAATATAACAGATATTGAACCTTGTAGGAAGAACAAAGCTAAATTTTCAGAATGAACAAAATACTTTTATTTGAATTTTAGAACAGAACCAAAAAATAAAATGCTGCAGCTCTTAACTATTAAAATTTTAAACTCTTAACTATTAAAATTTTAAACTCTTTACTACTACAGTTAAAACTCTTACAACTATAAAAAAAAAATCTTCCGAATTCCCTTCTTGTTGCCACACCGTAAAATGCAAGTTCTTGTAATATTATTTATATTTCACGTTATCTTTAAGTCACGATCTTTACAATTCATGATCTTTACAAGTCATGATCTTTACAAGTCACAATCTTTATAAGTCATGATCTTTACAAGTCACGATCTTTACAAGTCACGATCTTTACAAGTCACGATCTTTACAAACATCATCAAAAAAAATTTTTTTAATGTATTCCATATAACAAAATTACAATGAAATAAGCAATATCTCTTAATACAAATATTAATTATCCTAATAAATAAATTAACCCACTTCCCGGTGCCTTCTCTCAACAAACGTTCAGTATCCAAGTAAAACATTAAGTTTAAAAACTGCACAGAATTATCGCCCTCATTTTTCCGGGTGGCAACAGTCTTGATTTTTAACAGTCGGCAGTCCAGCATACAATTGAATGAAAAACTGTTGCTAAATCTACATTTCTAAAAGAATGAAACTATTCAAAATGATGCGATAAAATCGAAAGATAAAATTTAAAAAAAAAAAAAAAATCTGAAATGTTTCAGATTTTAAACTACGTCCAAAGGGGCGTTTTTTAACATTTTGTGTGTTACCTTTCTTTATTAAATATCATGTTCCTCGCACTTAAACCATAAGATCCAGTGCAACAGCAATATCGCAAAATAGTTTTAAAACGAGCATATCTTTAGAATTTCCGATACAGAGACTCACGCGCTGGAGATAAAAATGTTTTTTCTGTACAACGTTGCCATTGCTCGCTTTGAAATCCTTGAGTTTGTTAATCAAAAATTCGTTAAAGTTTTACAAAATATAGGAAATCGATAATAAAACAAATTCCAAATTTCAAATTTGGTCTTCCACATGCTCATATTCGTAGGAGGATTACGTAATTCAAAATTCGATCACTCTATGTACCGTGTTTTATCACATGCGAGAAATATACATACATTTATGCAGATTTTTCATTATTTATTTCTTCAAATATAATGCAGGACTCTAACATTTTGTGGCAACAGTTTGAAAAGTGAACCGACATTTATGAGTCCGACGCAAAATGCCAAAACGAAACTAATAGTCCTTCGGGATTCAAATCCCTTTGGACTAAAAAAAAAAAAAAAAAAAAACTGATTCGAATTTTGAAAAAAATCGCTTCGAAGTGCACCGGCTCTTGTCTAGATACACCTATATACCAAATTTCGTAATCCTGGGTCTATTAGCTTACGCGCAACACTAACGAAAAGACACACAGACTCTTTCTTTTATTATATGTACAGACTAGCAGCTTCGCTGCAAGCCTTCGTCTGGCTTTTAAATGTACCGGAAAAATGGCTGAAGGGAACACCAAACGTTAAATTTAAAACCTGCGTAGAAATTTACTCTGCAGAACATGAAAAAAAAAGTTATTACGTATAACAAAATTACAATGAAATAAGCAATATCCCTTAATATAAATATTAATTATTCTAATAAATACATTAACCAACTTCCCTTTGCAAAATCGTAAGAACTCAAATGGTATAAAGGAGGTTAAGAACTTTGTTTTCTAAAAAAAATTCACTCAAAACTTTTCAATATCTTAAAAACAGTCAAATGAGCAATAAATAACATAAAAGAATACAAAAAACAAAAAAATTCTGAAAAGCAAAGTATAATTAATGATATTTTATCTTATATTTTCAAGAGAAAAAGAGTACAATAAAATAAGCTATATCCCTAATGCAAATATTAATTATCCTAATAAAAAAATTAACCAACTTTCCGTTGAAGAAAAAAAAATCATGCAAAACTTTTCAATATCTTACAAACAGAGAAAGAAAAACAAGCAAAAAATAACATGAAAGCAACTCAAAACATAAAATTCCGCGCAGAATTTTACTCTGCAGAACAACTTTATTAAAAAAAATCAATAAAATGTATTTATATATATAATATATTTAAATGACAATGAAATACCAATCTCTAAAAAAAAACAATGACATAAGAAATACGATGAAAAATTGTTGCCAAACCCATATTTCTAAAAGATTGAAACTATTCAAAATGATGCGATTTCATCAAAAATCTATCAACAACAATAAGACAGGAAAATTGTTGCCAAAATCACATTTTTAAAGATGTGAGATGTGTGAAGTGTACTCGGAAGCTTCATTTAAAAATTTTTTAAAAATACAAATATATTATTTTTCCAAAATTACTTTTTGTAAAAGCAGTCGCAAGGATGAAAGTTTAACGTGTCCAAAAATCAAAGAAAAATAAACTGTACATTTTTAAAAATAAACTTTTTTAGAAAAAATCCCTTTGAAAATGGTGTTAAGCTCCCTTTGTTAAATAAAATTCGTATTTAATCGATTTATTGAAACACGAAATTTATTTTAAGTTCGTAAAATAGCTAAGTGCCTACGTTTCATG